CACAGTGCTAGATATACACAGAAATGTAGAATAGCCCTCCCCTCATACAAATAATATGAACAGCCCCCACACACACAACACACAATCACCACAAATGCAACACCACTAACAATATACATACATGCACACAACCCCACATGCAATACCCCAAACAGCCCCCACACACTACTAAACACACAATGTGACATATCCATCCACACACAAATCCACAAGCAGCCCTCATACACAGCCCACATTCATATGTATCATACACGATACCATAAACTACTAATGAACATATACAATATAATAGCTTATATACGCACAAATAAAACGATACAAAGCAATTACAGTAAAAATAACACAAGCAGAATACGGCAGCATACACACCTCAATTTAAAAAAAATAGGATCGGCACGCTATGGGACATCACAATCCTATATTGGCACAGTGCTGCTAAAAGGTTGCATACGCCTGTACTAGCCTATTTCAAATGCATATGTACTGTTTATTTGTTTGATTAGCCTCTATTAATAAATATTATTGAATTGCCGAAAGCAAGGAGTGTGGACTCTGACTTTACACTTGGTTTTTATGTTATTATTTTGTTATTTTTAGTTATTAACGTTATTATTAATTCCAAGTTTACTCCAACTTGTGAGTTAATGTTTATTATACCCTGTAATGAACTTATTTTGCCAGTGCCCTGGAGGGGGAATTGGGTGGCCTATGCACTGAGGGCAACCTGATGCGTATTTCTGAAGGGGCCCAATTAGTCACTTCAGCTCTTTAACAGCGAGATCAGGCCTCGATAATATCTGAAGCAGTTGGAGGAAGTGAGTGTGGGTTACTTCCTACCAGATATATAGAGAGCCCACATGGGAGGCAGAAAAAGGTATGTTGGTTAAAAATTATGACATGCATGTATGTCAATGTGTGTATCTACATGTGTCAATGTAACAGTGTGTGTGTATCTGTGTATGAGTATATGTGTGTCAGTGTGTGTATCCCTATCAGTGTGTATGTGTGTATTACATAGTTACATAGCTGAAAAGAGACTTGTGTCCATAAAGTTCAGCCTTCCTCACATATGTTTTTGCTGTTGATCAAAAAGAAGGCAAAAAACCCAGTCTGAAGCATTTCCAACAAACTAGGAAAAAAAAATTTCTTGACCCCAAATTAGAAATTATATCACAGTATGTAATGTTTTCACAAGTATTTATCCAATTGCTGTTTAAACATCTGCAAGGACTCTGATAAAACCCCTTCTTCAAGCAGAGAATTCCATATCCTTATTGCTCTTACTGTAAAAAAGACATTCTTTAGATGAAATCTCCTTTCTTCCAGCCTAAATGTGTGCCCTTGTGTCCTATGTATAGCCCTGTTTATGAATAGATTTCCAGATAATGGTTTGTACTGACCCCGAATATATTTGTATAATGTTATCATATCCCCTCTGAGGCGCCAGTTTTCAAAACTAAAGTTATTTAAATTTTTTAACCTTTATTCGTAACTAAAATGCTCCATTCCTTTTATCAATTTTGTAGCTCGTCTCTGCACTTTTTCTAGTGCCATGATATCCTTCTTTAGAACTAGTGCCCCAAATTGCACAGCATATTCAAGGTGTGGTCTTACCAGCGATTTATAAAGAGGCAAAATTATATTTTTATTCCGAGACTTTATGCCCCTATTTATACATGACTAGAGTTGAGCGAACCTGAACCGCAAAGTTCAGGTTTGTAACAAACATTACGTTTTTTTGGACCCCGGACCCGAACATGTACATTTCAGTGTATGTTTGGGTTGGAGTTCGGTGTTTGGCGATTTAATGGCGCGTTTTGAACGGCTGCAGGGCAGCCAATCAACAAGCGTTTGACTCGTTTGCCCTTAGAAGCCATCACAGCCATGCCTATTAGAAGCCATCACAGCATGTGACCCAGTCTCTATATATAAGCTGGAGTCGTGTAGCGTTGCACGCACATGAGCTCTTATTAGTGTAGGGAGAGGATGCTGCAGCTGTTAGGGACAGATTAGGAAAGAATTCTGGTGTTGAATCTGTAAACTACAGCGATTATTTTAGTGGGTGCCATACTACATTTTTGTACCCTGCCCTGAGCCCAGTGCCACAGAGAGTGCAGTGCACTTGCAACTGCATGTGTGCCAGGCACATGACTTTAACCCTGTTCTGGTAGCTCAGTGGGCAACATCTAATGTGCTTACATCGCATTTTGAAAAATTCCAATAGGTTTGGGTGCTAAATAGTACATTCACGTCCTGCCCTGCACTTCATATCTGAGAGTCAAAGAGAACCGTCAAATACTGTGCTTACAGCGCGCTTTGAAACAATCTAATTGTTTTGGGTGCTAATGCTAAATCGTACATTTGCGTCCTGCGTTGCACTTCATATCTGAGAGTCAAATAGAACCGTCAAACACTGTGCTTACAGCGTACTTTGAAAAATTCAAATTGTTTGGGTGCTAAATAGTACATTTGCGGCTTGCACTTCATATCTCACAGTCAAATAGAACCGTCAAACACTGTGCTTACAGCGCACTTTGAAAAATTCTAATTGTTTTGGGTGATAAAAAGTAAATTTGGAATGTGTAATTCATATTTTTTTTGATGCTCCATTGTAAATTTGCGGCCTGCGGTGCATTTTTTGCAGTCCAATAAACTAAAAAAAAAAATACAAATAAAAATTGTTGACTATTGTCGGTTACATTGTCACCTGACATAAACGTGGTCGATCTGTGCCAGCTACACGCACAAGTGAAACACCTTCCTCAGGTGTGAGTACGCGACTGTTGTGGTCGTGACCTAAATATGAATATTAATCTCTTAATACATAATTAAGCAATACGGAACAACATTAATATTTTTATAATTCATGGTATTATGGTCGAATATGTGGATAGAAAATACACAAAACATTGTAATATTAAATGTATATTTAATATAACTATAACAAATAAACAGATGCTAGCAGAATGTCAACATATTACTTACAAAAGGTTGCTAAATGTTACACAAAAGGCTATTACAATTGCTAAATGTTACAATGGATTCATTTTACTTACAAGGCCCCAGCCCTCTTAAGTCAGAGCTGGTACTACATCTTAGGTTCAGTCAGGTACAGGCAAAGAGACAGAGTTTCTCCTCCATCTGTTTTTTATTCAGTGTAAGTAGGCTGGCCTGTGATGTCACTGCCAGAAGCACATGTCTTCCTACACACTCCCCCTAGTGGTGCCCCCAAAGCATTACACTAAATATGCTTTCTTTATGATGTAAAGTCATTAATTAATAAATACCATTACAGCGACAGAACCTTCAGAGTTGTTTGGTAGGCCCAAATGGCGCTCTACAAATGGTGAGGCCAGAACTAGTACAGGCGATAGTAGATTGGATGGCTGACAATGCCTCCAGTTCCTTTACATTGTCTCCCACCCGGTCCCCTGCTGAAAGCTCAGAGTTGGCACCTGTAGCCCATGGACATCTGTCTTTCACCTCACCCCCTTGCAAATCAGCCAATCAGTCTGAGCCACAAGTCATGCAACAGTCTCTTGTGCTTTTTGATGACTCTGCTGGCGGGGTTTCTATGGGCCATCCACCTAGCACTGCCCCAAAAGTGGAAGAGATTGAGTGCACTGATGCACAACCACTTATGTGTCAGGATGTGGACATGCGAGGACCACCACAGCACGTCTCTGATTATGACGAAACACAGGTACCAACTGCAGTGGCTTTTGGCAGTGTGCAGACCGGCAAGGAGGGCAGGGTTGAGGAGTGGCTGGAAGAAGATGTGGAGGATGATGAGGTCCTAGACCCCACGTGGAATGAAGGTCATGCGAGTGACGTGTCCAATTTGGAGGAAGAGGCGGTGGTCGTACAGAGGCACCAGCACAGCATACAATTGCTAAATGTTACAATGGATTCATTTTACTTACAAGGCCCCAGCCCTTTGGCTGGGGTTAAGTCAGAGCTGGTACTACATCTTAGGTTCAGTCAGGTACAGGCAAAGAGACTGAGTTTCTCCTCCATCTGTTTTTTATTCAGTGTAAGTAGGCTGGCCCGTGATGTCACTGCCAGAAGCACATGTCTTCCTACACACTCCCCCTAGTGGTGCCCCCAAAGCATTACACTAAATATGCTTTCTTTATGATGTAAAGTCATTAATTAATAAATACCATTACAAACCACCCTTTGACTTATGTCATAAAACAAGCATTTATAAAACCAGTAAATTGTGAATCTTCCCCATTTTAACACTACCTGCCCTACAACAAAACCCACCTTTTGAAGAACGATACCCATTTACCCATTAATTATTACCCATTAACATTTTATTGCTTATATAAATGTTCATCATTGAGCACATGCATTACCAGTTGGGAAGTAGGCACATACCCACCCTTATAATAATGAACAACTCAAACCATGTTTTATTAGATTAACCAATGATATTGTGTTCATGTGAGGATGTGTTTTGGAGCTTAATATAGTATTAGACACCACAAACTCATAACACCTATGAATCATGGCACAGACCGACTCGATTTCTGTAGCCTCTGGCTGGTCTGTGTGCCTGGAATTTTCACAAACATTAGTCCTGGAAACTGGATACTCTATTCTTCGACAGTCTCATAGAACATACGCATGGAGACAGGGATGAATGAAACAGTTCATGTGATCAAGGACTTTTGTGTGTTTGTGGTCACATTGTTTTGTTTTTTCTTTCTTTATACCATTAACCACCTTGACGTAACAGTGTCCTGCTCCTGATGCATTTTGTTCCGACTCTCACCACTCTTAGCTGCAATATTTTTTCTCCTTACAGCAACAGTTGAGCATAGTGTCCAGTGCTTCTTCTTCTTCTGCTTAAAATATCCTTGCTTGAAAGTTCTTGAATGAAAACACAGGCAATGACGAACACAAACATAAATAATAACTGTGCCAATCATCACAAGTACCATTTGATTGTGGTGTCTTAACCATATTTTTTCCTATGGCGTTTGGATAAATACCTACACACCTCTCTTCACATCCAGCACACTCCTGATTCACAGATAAACACAATATCACTGCTGTATCTACCAATTTAACCCAAACACTCGTTATTACTGCTGCATTTACCAATTTAATCTAAACACTCGTTATCACTGCTGTATTTAATCAATTTAATCTAAACATTAACCAAAACAATTACATTACTATTTACCATCCTTCTATTTAAACATGTATAGATAACCCAAAATGCCTACTTTCTCTTATCCCTCTTATCATTCTTCCGTTTTTTTTTTTTTTTTTTTAACTGCAACCACTCATGTACTTTACACAGACACAAATCAAGCACCTACTGGACAATGGGGTTCCCTCGTTAGAGCCCTCCCACCCCAGTTTGGTTTACACAAAAATACCCCCTGGTCCCTATGGGTCAATTCCCCCCTTTCCCAGGCAAGCATACATACATACATAAATCAATAATACATAAGGGTTTCAATTGCAATACAATCACTAGAAATAAGAGAATAGTATGCACAAAATCATAGCATAGACATGTTAAATAGACAATAAAATAAAACATTCAATAGCTCATCAAAGGTCAACATTTAAACACTGGTCTCCATCTGATATTCTATCTGTGTTCCAATGTCCACCTCTGGTTTCTGCTACATCTGAAAAGGTTAGGAAACAGATCAGGATTACTTTCCTAGTCACTTATAGCGTATACTGCAAATATTTTACTTAGATATATATATATATATATATATATATATATATATATATATATATATATATACACACACACACAGACATGTAAACACATTCCTTCAGCTTTTCATTTTATAAACAATTTTTTTCAACAAGATAACTTTCTTAATTTATTTTTTTGTTTTTTACAAGGCTCTTAAAAAACAATAAGCTAATAGCTGCTTTCTGCATCTTCTCTGCAATTCAGGAAATACATTTCTAGCCCACCTAAACATGTTTAATAACTCTCCACCCTTTGGTTAAATTATAGAGGAGTGAACCACAACACCTCTTCCGCCTCTGAAAGGATATAGGTCAATATGTCTCAAAGTTCAACACTTCTGACAGCTATGAGTGACTCCCTAATAATTTCTAGCCTTTCCACGGACATGCTTGCACCTCGCGGCTAAGGGCCTGCACAACTAACCACGCTGTGATGGCAGTGGCTTTCCACATGGGGGTGACCGCCCCCGCAAAATTATAGAGGAGCAAACATACAGCAGCCTCTTTTCCGGCTCGATTAAAGGTTCTGGGCCAATATGTCTGCAATTTAACCAGTACACTCACGTATCACTTATTGTATATTTCCTGGTCTCTCAGGAATTTCTATTAAATAGCGTATCCCCTTCCCAGGGCAATATACAACAAAAACTAGTCACCAAGGGTCTCTATGGTCATGATAGGCCAGAATTACCTAAAATTATTCCCTTTTCCATCTTACATTGGTATATAACCTGTGTTTTAATTTCACTCCACTGTATTTCTTTTTTACTTTTCCAATTTCTAGCCACAGCTAACTTTACTGCCATTAAGATATGTATTATCAACATGCGTTTCTCAAAGGACATAGAAGGCCATCCCAGATGTAGCAAAAAACTTTGTGGTGTGAAGGGTATATATAGCTGACATGAGTTATAAATCTGCTTATATACCACCTTCCATATATAACTTAAAACTTTACAATGCCACCAGATATGGAGATAATCTTCTTTCCCATCTTCACAACGCCAACAGAAAGGGCTCTGATCTGCATATATTTTTGCCAGTTTTTCTGGAACCATATACCATCTGTTTAGGAGTTTATAAAAATTCTCTACTATATTCAAGCAATGTACCGATTTATTAACTCTCTCTATCGCATTTGTCATATCTTGCTCGGAAATTACCATTTGTAAATCTTTTTCCCACTTAATCGTAGATTTCCAAAGAGGGAGCTTCTGAGATGACTTTAAAAATTCATAACATCTAGAAATATGACCTTTAGTTCTGTATGTTTCCATGATCTTCTTAATGTTACTTATATTTTTATTGAGCTGAATATCCAAGAATTTCGCCAGGTAAAACTTAACTCTTAGATATGTAAATACCTCCTTACTTTCAATCCCAAACTCTGCCTGTAACTGGCTAAATGACTTAAGATCCTTTATATCTATAATTTGTTGAATATACTTAATACCTTTTTGTATCCAACCACTGATATTAATATCATCAATATTATTATTAATCACCTCTAAATGTAGGAAAGGGAATATTCTATATTCTATTTTATAATTTTTCTTAAATTTATGCCAAAATCTCCATATACTATCTATAATTGTCGAATTTTCTGGGTGAACCAAGTTATTTTTATTTTGATTCCTCCTTGTTGTCCAAAACAGAGCAGATAGGCTGTTTGTCTCTACTAATGATTGCTCTATATGATACCAAGATTGATCTTTTTGGTCTATACTTAACGTGTTGACAGTGTGGGCCAACATACATGCATTATGATATTCAATTATATTTGGAGCAGCAAGACCTCCATCCTTTCTTTTCTTAGATATTAACTGTAAGCTTATTCTTGGTTTTTTACCTTTCCAAATAAATTTAGAAAAAGCTGACTGTATCATTTTTAACCAAGGGTTGGGAACTGGTATAGGTATCATTCTAAAGAGATAATTCCATTTAGGCAAAATATATGATCGAATAGTATTTATACGACCTATCCAAGAGATCTCCCTGCCAGCCCATTCTTTTAATAACTTATTTGTATTTTTTATAAGAGGGAGGAAATTAACTTCGATAACTCTATTTATGTCTCTTGATATTTTTATGCCAAGAAATGAGATATGTTCCTTAACCCAGACAAAGTCATAAGATATTTTAATAAAGTCCTTATCTTCCCTAGGTAAATTAGTTGTCATTATTGTGGTTTTATTAATATTTAATTTATAATTTGAAAATACACTATATTGGTCTAGTGTTCTTATCAATTCCGGCAATGATGATCTAGGATTCTGCATCATAAGCATAACATCATCAGCATATAAATTAATCTTATGTTCTAAATTATTAAGCCAAAAACCCTCAATCTTTCCATTTTGCCTTATATCTTCTGCAAGAGGCTCAATGGTTAAAACATAAAGTAACGGGGAAAGAGGACATCCTTGCCTGGTTCCCTTCTTAATAATGAACCAATCTGCCTCTATCCCAGGGCCTATGGTCCTTGCCGAAGGAACAGTGTATAGTGCCATAATGGCATCATAGACTTTTCCTACTATACCGTATGATTTCAATGTATTTCCCAAAAAATCCCATCTGACCCTGTCGAACGCTTTCTCAGCATCCAATGACAGGGTCAGAAGGGGGACTCTTTTCCTAATCGCAACATCCTGTACATCCATTATTCTTCTTAGTCCGTCTGATGCTGCTCTACCATAAATAAATCCGGCTTGATCCTGATGTATTAAAGTCGGAATACATATTTTTAATCGACCTGCAATAATTGAGGCATAAATCTTTACATCCCCATTTAGAAGAGATATTGGACGATAGTTCACCAATTTAGCTGGATCTTTGTCCGGCTTCAAGATAGGAACAATATTCGCCTGAAGCATCTCCCTAGGAAACGCACAATTTTCCACTATTATATTAAATATCCTAGCGAGACGAGTCGAAAGGGTATCTTTAAATATCTTATAAAATTTATTTGAATAGTCATCTGGGCCAGGGCTTTGTTTATCTGTAACTTGTTTATAGCTACTATAACTCCATCTGAGGTTATTGGTTTATTTATCTCATTAAGTTGTTCTCTAGTTATTTTTGGCATTTTTTTATTTTTAAAGTAATCCGAAGATGGGGGTTGTTGTCCCACTGATTATAAATTATATAATCGACTATAATAGTCATTAAAAGCTGACCCTATTTTTTTCGGGCTTAATAACGTTTCTTTTCCTACCTCGATTCTATGAATCCTCCTCATTTGTTTTTTATTTTTCAATTTATTTGTAAGCAGCCTATCCGCCCTGTTACTCTTATAATACCAATTAATCTTTAAGAATTGGAGATTTCTCTTTTTCTCCTCAAATAGTAATTCATTTATTCGATTTTGCAATAATAGCATTTTTATACTTTTCTCCTGAGTTGGTAAAATTTTATTTTCATTCGATAGGTTATAATAGTCTACATATAAATCCTTCAAGGGTCTTCCTTTCTTTTTTTAATCAATTGTACCTAGCTTAATTAAGTAGCCTTTTGTGACGCATTTATATGCATTCCAAACCATCGGAAGTGACACTTCACCCCCCTCATTTTCCTGTCATCTCCCCTATATAATCTCTGTTTTCCTTACTGGAGAGAATATTATCATTTAATCTCCAATCAGTTCTTCTTGCCCTATTATCCACTATATCCAACTCCAAGATTATGGCATTATGATCGGACCAAGTTACTTCGTCTACAAGGACTTTTTTAGTACTATTGGTAAATCCAACACTGCCCAAAAATAAGTCAATTCTTGAGTATGAGAAATATGATCTGGAGAAGCATGTAAAATCCCTCTCCAATGGATGAAACACTCGCCATATATCCATAAATCCATATTTCTTAATTATCCTTTGAAATTGTACAGCTTGTGCAGTTACTCCTTTAATTGACCCTTCATGATTTAAAGTTTTCCTATCTATATTTATATCTGGTATCCGATTGAAATCACCCGCCAGAAGTAATTTACCCTGCTTTATTTTATCTACTTTATCAAAAAGGTCATAGAAATATTTATTAGAGGGGTTATTAGGCGCATACACATTTACTAACGTATAAATTTCTGATTGGATATTAATTATCACTATAATAAATCTAGCTTCTTCGTCTAATTCTTGGTATATGATTATATGATATGATTATCATAATGGCTACACCTCTTTTCCCCTGATTCTCTAATGTGGCAGATATTACTGTTGAAAAACTTTGTGGAATGAATCTTAACTTATCATCTCTCTTCCAGTGTGTCTCCTGTAGAAAGATGATATTAGCTTTTTCTTTCTTAATGTAATCAAACAAAATTGCTCGTTTACTAGGGTAATTTAAACCTTGAACATTTAACGATATAATTTTAACCATTTCTCTTTTTTAATCTATTCTTGGGTTTCTTCCAACTCTGATATCCATCACCTATATACTTGTTGAACTTATTTCTAAACTTCTTTCTATTCTGAGGATGAGCCCCCACCCCAACTACCACTTTCATACCAAACATACCCCATCCTCTCATATACAAGAGGCATTCATTCAACAAACCCTGGGTGTTAACCTCTGGGTATAGATCCAAAAGGGAAAAATCCCCTAATTGGAATCTGGTCCTCATATAGAAAATTCCTAAATGAGGAAAAAATAAAAGCTGAGCTAGGAGCGTCCCTTAATTTTACCTATTTTCTTCACCTTCTACCATACCACATCTTTCTCCATTACCTCCCCGCACCAAGCATTGATTACAGGGCTTTTCTACATCAACATTTTAATCTCTTCTGTATATATTAAAGAATCTGTCTAGTTCTGTCCTCTTCTCATTATTTACAAATCCCTACCAACTTTTCCCAAACTTCTAACTTAAAACTATTTGTGGATTATTGCTTACTTACTAACAAACATTTCAAATTATTTATTCCCACGTGCACATATTTTATCTTTCTATATTTTCAGTGAAATTTCCATATTTCAACATTTTTAAGAGTATCCTAAAGTAACTCCGGTGATCATAACTACTATTTCAATACTTTAATCTCTATAATTATGATTCTACCTCCATTAATTGAATCCATTTGTGTAAGTGTCACTTATATCTATGATTTTTTTTTCTCTTTTTTTAAATTTACTTTTTTTAGTGCTACATCGTGAAAATAATCCACATATCTTACATATTTAACTTTACAGATTATTAAAAATTCTTACTATCATTTTTTCTATTACTTATATTACTCTAAATATTTTCCCTCATAGTGAACTTTTTTCACCATCCAACGTGCTATTTCCTCAGTGATTTGATCATAAATCACAGAAGTGGTACATATTCCATTAACAAAACTATTAAACCTTTCCCAGTGAAGTTTAGTAGGGATTGAATCTAGATTGGTCAGAAAGCTGAATCATACTTATTCAAGTTATTACCATAATTAAACCAAGTTTTCCAACCAGTTTATAATCTTATCCAGTGAGTCAAATGTATGTATAGTCCCACCCTTAGTGACTATAAGTTTAGTTGGGAATCCCCAACGATATTTTAGATCTTTTTCCCTCAAACGCAGGGTAGCTGGAATAAATTGTTTTCTCGCTTGCCTTGTCTGGAAAGACAAATCTGGAAAAACTTTTATGTCTTTAAATTTGCCTTGTTCTCTTTCCGTTTGTCTTGCTGCTTTTAAAATTTTTTCTCTAAAAGAGTAAGAGTGGCAGGCGATAATTATATCTCTTGGGAGATCTTCTGGAAGTGTTCTTGGTTTATTTAACCGATGAGATCTTTCAAGAAAGTCCCTTTTATCATCAATATTGATTTTAAGAGCTTCAAAAAATTCCGCAAGAAAATTTGCCAGATTGCCTTGTGAAATAGATTCTGGTATGTTTCTTATTCTTAAATAATTTTTTCTTCCTCTGTCTTCTATATTAGTTGATCTCTCCTCCAGTTCATTAATCTTCATTTGTTGTTTCTCTATACATTCATTTTGCTTCTGTATGAGGAATTCCAGGTTTTCTATTTTCTGTTCATTTATTTTAGCTTTTTGTCCAATAGATATTATTTCCTGCTTTAAATTTGCAAAGTTCCCCTGCATTTCTAATTTTATTTGATCCAATTGTTGATCTAGACATTGTTTTAAATATGCTTGAGTGATCGTTGATTCCTCTGGAGATTCTTGTGGTTCTGTCTCCTTTAATTTTCCTGTGTGCTTACTTAAAGGCATGTTGTTTGGCGTAGAAATCGAAGAGGATTCCAAAGTGCTTTTATCTACTGGAGCGTTAAAAAAATTTGAAAGTCTCTTTTCCTGTTTTTCTTTTTTTTCCCGATCTTTTTTTGAGAGAGACTTCAGCTCTTGTTTCTGATCCGCTGTTTTCCTTGTTGTCATTCTATTTTTTTTGTTTTATATTGTTTTTTTTTTTTTTTAAACAATTTAACAAAGATATTCAACTTTCCTTTAACTGTGACGGTTCAGTTTTAGATCTTATAAATCCAGTTATTAAGCGTACTGTATCCTTTAGTAGTTAAGTGCTTAGGTACTTAGTAATTCATCAGTATGGCGCCCACTTGAGTTCTTTATAATTCAATAGTATGCAGCTCAAACAAGTTCTTAATATTTCAATATGTTCAGAGCTTAACTGCACTTTTACATCTGTTGCACGCCTCTACTCCAAGTATGGAATTCCACTCTGTCACTTTATTTACCAGTCACATTTAACTCTAGTACTTTCCTCTATTTCAAATATGAGATATAAAATTCCAGTCAGCCTCTTTACTTATCAGTCACCTTAGCAAGCATCTTCTTAAATTTAAGCTCGCATCCACTGAATTGTTAATTGCACAGACAGTATAATTGACAGTGTAACTTCGTTATAGTGCCTTATGAAACTCATTGTTTCGGCATTATGCAATGTATTATTTGCTCGAGTTTCTTTCTTTTCTTTTTTTTCTCCTTTTTTTTTTTTTCCAACTATATGTATGTCATACAAGCTCTTACTGATTCAGTGTGACTCAAATCTCATTACACGCTTAGCTTTTGTGCTCACCTCTGCTCCAGTATAAAATTCCACTCTGCCTTTTATTTGCCAAACACTTTGAAAAATCGGCTTCTTTAGTTTAGGCACACTTCCACTTCGATTTTCAAAAGCACGGCCATTCCAACTACCTTTCTTGCTATGGCGCGAAGGTAGTAAGTTGAAGAAAAAAAAAAAAAAAGCAATTAAATACAAATTTTCCTTCGGTCCTATATATTCAGCCCGCGCATCGTGCGAGCCCTTCAGCACAGTCTTTGGTTACCGCTCTTGTGGGGGCATAGCATCAGATGCCTGTGTTATATCTCCGTTGTTTATTCGGCGGTTTCACCTCTCCCCCAGATGGGACTCCAGCTCAGCTTAACCCAGCGGCGTGCACGCCACGTTACGCGCCCCATGTGTCCCACGCGTCGTCATGTCGTCATCCCCGCCATTCTAGTGGATGAGATACACCCTAATTCAAAGCATGGAAATATTAAAATCAGTTATAGATGGCTTCTAAAATAATATAAATCTTAATCTGAGCCCCTACACTTACTTTGTTAAAAATGCTAACTTGTTAAAATATTCAGACTAAATAGGACAAAGGAATTATTTTACCATTTTTCAGTTCATTTGTTACCAGTTCCTGCATATGTCCAGTAATTCCTTAGTCCTGGATAATAAAGCTGAAAAACACTCCACAAATTGATTAGCTTAGGCAATTACATTTACAAAACAATGCAGTTTATTTTTTCTCATACAGGCAAGACTACCCACCCCCAACAAGGACAAATTCTCCCCCAGCTGTAGCTGAAAAGCATGGTCACACAGCTGTTAAAAAGGTGGTCTCTCCTTCATGAGTCAAAATCATATATATATTTATACTAATATTCTGTGTATACGCACACATAAATCTATTATTCACTGAATCTGCTTTACTAAACTACTAATTTAATACATTTTGTCCAAATCTCTTTTCAACTAGACAAATCCATGAATGCCAAACAAATGTAAATTAGTACACAAACAGGGTCAAATTTAGCAATAAAACCTGGTGAACTAGTTTAGTGAAAAGTCTTTTCCTATGCAAATGGTAGCAAACAATGAAACTAGGCCTCAACTCATTCACACCATGTGGTCAATGGTGGATTAAAATCCACATGGTCAGACAAAAGGTAAAGTATATATATATTTTTTTTTTATATATACAAATGACCAAAGATTGGTAACAAGTAACACAATAATTCATCACTATGTTCTACAACAAGAGATACCTTAAAAACAAATATCTAATCCCTATCTGCTATCTGCATTCATTCCATTAAAACCAAATCATCATTCATTTATTCATTTGTATACAGACAGACAATTTACTGTATTATTTAAGCAAAATGCATAACATTTATATTTTTCCCCAATATTCAAGCATAATCCTGCCGACTACGCCAAATGTTGTGGTCGTGACCTAAATATGAATATTAATCTCTTAATACATAATAATTAAGCAATACGGAACAACATTAATATTTTTATAATTCATGGTATTATGGTTGAATATGTGGATAGAAAATACACAAAACATTGTAATATTAAATGTATATTTAATATAACTATAATAAATAAACAGATGCTAGCAGAATGTCAACATATTACTTACAAAAGGTTGCTAAATGTTACACAAAAGGCTATTACAATTGCTAAATGTTACAATGGATTCATTTTACTTACAAGGCCCCAGCCCTCTTAAGTCAGAGCTGGTACTACATCTTAGGTTCAGTCAGGTACAGGCAAAGAGACAGAGTTTCTCCTCCATCTGTTTTTTATTCAGTGTAAGTAGGCTGGCCTGTGATGTCACTGCCAGAAGCACATGTCTTCCTACACACTCCCCCTAGTGGTGCCCCCAAAGCATTACACTAAATATGCTTTCTTTATGATGTAAAGTCATTAATTAATAAATACCATTACAGCGACAGAACCTTCAGAGTTATTTGGTAGGCCCAAATGGCGCTCTACAAATGGTGAGGCCAGAACTAGTACAGGCGATAGTAGATTGGATGGCTGACAATGCCTCCAGTTCCTTTACATTGTCTCCCACCCGGTCCCCTGCTGAAAGCTCAGAGTTGGCACCTGTAGCCCATGGACATCTGTCTTTCACCTCACCCCCTTGCAAATCAGCCAATCAGTCTGAGCCACAAGTCATGCAACAGTCTCTTGTGCTTTTTGATGACTCTGCTGGTGGGGTTTCTATGGGCCATCCACCTAGCACTGCCCCAAAAGTGGAAGAGATTGAGTGCACTGATGCACAACCACTTATGTGTCAGGATGTGGACATGCGAGGACCACCACAGCACGTCTCTGATTATGACGAAACACAGGTACCAACTGCAGTGGCTTTTGGCAGTGTGCAGACCGGCAAGGAGGGCAGGGTTGAGGAGTGGCTGGAAGAAGATGTGGAGGATGATGAGGTCCTAGACCCCACGTGGAATGAAGGTCATGCGAGTGACGTGTCCAATTTGGAGGAAGAGGCGGTGGTCGTACAGAGGCACCAGCACAGCATAAGAGGGAGCAGGGTGCAAAAGCGGAGCGGCCGTCATCTAGACAGTACTCCTGCTACTGCCCATCGCACCCAGGGACCGAGCATACCAAAGCCAGCTCCAAGGAGTTCCCTGGCATGGCAGTTCTTCAGACAATGTGCTGACGACAAGACACGAGTGGTTTGCATGCTATGCAATCAGAGCCTGAAGTGAGGCATAAACGTTCTAAACCTGAGCACAACCTGCATGACCAAACATCTCCACACTGTCCCATGGAAGCGTTCAGCTGTCCATCTCCCAAACACTGGAGAGAAAGAGGAAGTAGCCCTCTAGCCTAACGCGATCACTGGCCCTGAATGCCAGCATTTCAAAATTTGTGGCCTTTGAAATGCTGTCATTCCGTCTGGTGGAGACTGACAGTTTTAAAAACCTGGTGGCATTATTGGACTGCAAGAAATGCACCACAGGCCGCAAATTTTTCTTTTTTTATATGTCCCAATATTTTGGGGGCTACCCCAATTTAAAAAAAAAACTGTTGGCTACCTCCTCCACCGCCGCTTCCACCTACACCGCCACGGTCACCGCCTCCTCAACCTATGGGTCACTTAGTATAAACTATGTACACAATAGCAGAGGCTTGTGAAGGCCTTTACTAAATGATCAGGAGTTGAGCTCAGTTTAAACAATGAAAGAGAATACCCAACCCTCTCTCAAATGGATAATTCTGGTGATCCTCCAGACAGCCATGCTTCAGATTTTGATTTATGTTCTTCCAAAGCTAAAATCAAATATTCCATCTAGTGCTATTTTATGGCTCAGTTGTATTTTTAATTTGTATGTATTTAATGTTATTTTAAGTGATTTCCCTATCCACATTTGTTTGCAGGGCACTTGTCCTACTCTTGCCCCCATTTTACTTACTTTTGCAGCCCTCTAGCCCTTTCCAGGACTTTTTAAGAGCCATTTTTTGTGCCTAAAAGTTCGGGTCCCCATTGACTTGGGGTTCGGGTTCAGGGTCAAGTTCGAGCTCGAACCCGGACTTTTTTTTCGAAGTTCGGCCGAACCCACCGGACCCAAACATCCAGGTGTCCGCTCAACTCGAAGCATGACAAAACCTTACTGGCCTTAGCAACTGCAGATTAACATTGCATATTGCTGCCTGATCCAAATCCTTCTCAAGTGTGGTTATCCCTAATTCACTGCGGTTTAGTTCGTAAGTTGTTTTTGCATTCTTGACCCTGAAGTGCATAACTTTGTATTTCTCTACATTAAATTTAATCTGCCATTTTAGTGCCCAGACCCCCAATCAATCCAAATTCCTCTGCAGCAAAGCAATATCCTGCTCACATTTTATTACTTTACAAAGTTTTGTTTCATCTGCACAAAACTGCTGTAGCACCTTGTCCCGAGTCATCCAATCACAAGTTATCTGCAAGTTTTTTGCAGCAATTATTTGCATATCTCTTGCCATAGGATCCTCATTAATATATATTGAAGAAAAATAGTTATTTAAAATTTCTGCCTTTACATAGTCTTCATTAACTAACAGACCCATCTCTTTTTCCAGTGTTCCTACACTTTCATATTTTGTTTCTTTAGAATTTATGTACTTGAAAAAAAATTTGGGGTTAGTTTTGCATTCTTTGGCTATCAATTTCTCATTTTCTAGTTTAGCCACTTTAATTGCCTTTTTTTGCAAGCATTATTGTCTTCCTTATATCTTATATAGGATACCTCTGATTTGTTTTGGTCCTCGTTTTAATTTTCCTCGTTACACTCTACATGCCTAAGATTTGACTTTAACTCATCATTGACATACAAACATACCCCACCACCCTTCT